AAAATATTTTTTTCAAACTTCTTTTTTAAAAAGAACGCGTCTAGTAATCTTTTAGGTTCTTGCTTCAAACGCCTTCTAAAAGAAGTAAACCGTCTAGATGATTGCCCGAATGATATTCTTAGCGTTTCCCTTGCCGCTGAAAGTAAAGATAACAAACACTGGGAAGTTATGATAAAAGGGCCCGTGGATACACCATATGAAAATGGTGTATTTGCACTCGATATGCGCTTTCCAGCAAATTATCCAATCAATCCACCAGCAATAAAATTTAAAACAAAAATATATCATCCAAATATAAGTTCGAATGGCGAAATCTGTTTGGATACTCTTCATACCCAATGGACTCCATCACTTACTGTAAATGCAGTTTTACTATCCATTGTTTCTTTGTTATCAGACCCAAATACTGACGATTTTCTTGTGCCAGAGGCTGCCCTTTTATACCCAGAAGATCGTACAAAATATGACAGCAAAGCAAAAGAATGGACAAGAAAATACGCTATGGCAGTTGAAGATCCAATGGAAGCACTAGAAGATCTGAATGAGGTAAGCACATTGTATTATTCCGTATTTTAGGTGTGTTCCCTCGTCTAAGGGGAGAATTATATGAAAAAGATAGTCTGCCTGGGTGTTTGTCGCAGATGAAAGGTAAAAAAAACATCACACAGGATCCGATACCATGGAAACCGTTTCGTAGCCCGACAAACTAGGAATTTTTCGTCTCGCGATCTACTAATTTGATTCCTGTGAATTCTCGATTATTATTGGTAGAGAAACTCGATACTCTGCCTTCATCACATGAGAATAAATCTCCTAGGACGAGATGGGACCCTTTTTCTGACAATGGCAGCAGAAGCGGTCGGTTCTTTCTTATCATACTGGAAGACCCAGAGTGTTACTGTCAAAAATGAAGGTCTCTCTTGATAAAGGAGAAGAGAACTCTCCAAAGCTGATTCATCAGTTTTGCTCGCAAAAGCATAGGTGTTGACTGGTGTGGGAGTAAGATACACATTGATTGCCAATGGTAGCTTTGTCTCAAGCTATCCTGCCTTCAAACACTCAAAGTTAGAGAAATCAAATCACAGTTAAGAAAGTCGACGAATGAGGCAGTTGTAGCTGCAAAAAACTACTGAAACAGATTGATCATGTCTGAAACAATAAAGCCGTACCGTGTTTGTGCGCTCAAGATTATTCCTCGTTCGAACAGATGAACAGTTTTGATGAAAGAAATGCTTGAGTGTAAGTAGTTAATATCCGATCGATACTGAGTAATCTAGAGATAATCCGTTAGTTGCCTGTTTAGTGAAAGACGAGAGTAGGCGAATAGTTTTCGCTGGATGAATAGTATATCAGATTATAGAAGAACAATAGATGTGTAGGTCTTGAATGATTATCTGACGAATGATAGTCGATCATCAGAATGTGAGACAACTGAGCTCGTGCTGTAAGGTAATGTTCGACGTGTGAAAGAACACAAGGAGACGACGAGGAATGAATGAGTTAAGAATAAGGCTCCAGAGAGACACCGACAATCGACAGAAAGCTTCTGTGTTCCGTAGTATAGATTCTTTTTGAAAGGGAGTGGTCAGAATTGTGAATGTAATTCAGTCGGTGGTAAAGCGAGTTTCATCGACGAGCGTTATTTTTTTGCAAGTCAATAAATAACTAAGGTTGATCTAATTAAAAGAATTAGATTGCCAGGGTGACTATGGCTTCAAAACTATCTTAGACTAGGTTTTAACCATTTTTCTTTATGCACTCATTGTTTTGAATTGATTTTAAGGTGCATCATTCTACTGATACAATAATGGAGATGAACATATCATCGTTATCATCAGATCAAATTGAACAAGAAGTTGTTAGTATTCAATCTGTTGAAGGACGTCGGCCTGGTCGATTCGATGTTATTGAACCATTAAAGGCAAAGGCATTTGATAACGGGGAATCGAAGAATCATGTTCCAATTGTTGAAGAATGTCTCAGACCCAGAGAAGATCGCTTGGATAGACACAGGTAATATTAGTGTCGTGAACTCGACCTATTCGAAGTGTTGTTTTGGTGCTCCCTTGATTAAATATCATATATTATTTTCAGATATCAGATGTCTTCCGATCATACTATTACAGAAAGACTGGATATTAATTCTGAACTTCAGTTACTGGCCATAGAATTAGACGAAGTCGGAAACGAGCTTGAAAAACGGTCAGAATCCATGATTTTAATCGAATCATTGTTTAAACTCATTGGTTTGTCTTCAGATGAAGTATGCCAAGGATGCCTACACATCTATTCAATGGAAACATTTCTCTATTCAGAACTCAATCACTTTTTACGCCAAGGTGATCATTCCAAAATCAAAATATTCGGACCATTTGTTCGTTTTCTATGTTTTTGTTTTGAACATCCTTCATCAGTCGAAGTTCATGGTATAGAAGTTTACCGTGGAATGAATTTATCATTGTCCATGATCGATACTTACAAAGAAGCTGCGAAAAGTAGTATAACATATCAATGGACTGGGTTTAGTTCAACAAGTAAAAGCCAAGAATTTGCTGAAAACTTCCATACTAACACAGTGCTCATTATGCAACTAAAAAAAATATATTCAAAAGAAAAGAAAGCTATTGATATCAGTGGCTATTCAAAATGTCCAAAAGAAGAAGAAGTATTGTTAAAAACTGGTGTTGAATTCACAGTCGAAAATGTTACTTATGATGATAAGAAGAAAAAACATTATATTAATCTTAATGTTTATGTTTAACAATCTCCACGTAAACTTAAAATAGACTAATAGATTTTTCTATCTGACAGTATTTCATATAATTAGAGTGTAAACAAGAAAGCGCACCGTGATCACTATTTCGACCATCTTTATGGGTCGTATCAGACGACTTAAATTGAATAAGGGTGTGGATGTGAAACAAAAGAATACCTACACCTTCGCTGGTAATATCATTTATTTGTAAAAACAGTATGCTTGCAATCATCAGAAATATACGATAAGACCATTTTCTTTTATGTCCGTTCAACAGATTTAATATTGCTAAAAAAACAAAATTGATATTGCATTATCACTGCTGTATGTATATTATATAATTAATATTGATTGTAATATTTGTGTTGTACGTCTCAAATGAATTCTACTTAATTGTAATTGATTAACTTCGTAAATACAGTATATTCTGTTCTCTTGCGAAACTAGTAAGAATAAAATTGTTTTTCCTTTGTAATATATGAGATAAATTATAAATCTTTTTATTTTCCAATAGTTACGAGTAAAAACAAATAAGTACTACAAAAAACAAAACCAACACCTTTTAACAAAAAAAAAAACATGATATTGTTGTTAACGAGAAAGAAATTTCTAATATAAGTCAATATTGACGAATATGAAAAGAAAACCGGTTATTCGTATTACCATATGTATAATTCTCTATGGATGATACTTGGTTTTATTTGTTTAAACTTAGATGAATAAGAATAGAACGAGAAAAAGAAACGTTAAAAATTTACGAATAAGTTATGTTTTGTTTGAAGTTTTTTATTCGTATATTGCAACAAGAACCATAATAAAAACACCGAAAATAAGTGCAAGCATTTCTTTAATTGATTGTTTAAACCCACTATTTGTTTCCAATAATTCTGGTATAACACTAACAGTAGCGATATAAATAAAGCCACCAGCTGTTATTGGAAGAAATGTTTGTGTTGCCCATGCTTCTGCACCTGCTGAATGAAATAAAAGACCAATTAAACAACCAAGTAAAGCTCCAATTGCAGTTGTTAATTGTAATAATATTGCCTATTCAAAAGAAATAGATATTTATTTTTCAAAAAAAATTAAAAACAAACTTTTTTTCGACTACATCCGTTTTGAATTAAAATAGCATAATCACCAATTTCATGTGGAATTTCATGAAAAAATATTGTCATTGTTGTCATTAAACCTAAATTAAAAATTATATAAAACGAATCTTTCTTTTTTTTTTGTTTCTTAGTAAATTTCTTACCAACTTTTCGTCCAAGTAAATATGTTGAACCAATAGCTAAACCATCAGTAAAATTATGAAGACCATCTGCGATTAAATTTAAATAACCAGATATTTTCATATCAGTTTTTGGTATTACTTCTGAACCTGTTTTTGATTTGGGTTTTTCCGATGATTTCTTCTTTTTTTTCTTACCATTATCATCATCATCATCATTATCATCTGGCATCACAGTTGCAGCTATTTCATGAGCATGTGCATGAGAATGTCCGTGACCTTTGACATGTCGAACAAATTTTTCAACAATAAGAAAAAGAAATATTCCTGCAAGAATATATAAACCAACTTGAATATCAGCTGAATGATTATGATCATGACCATGTGAATGTGAATGTGAATGTGAATGTCCACCTTTTTCACCATAGGCTAACATTGCATGAGGTATTAAATGAAGAAATGCATCACCTAATAAACCACCTGATGCAAAACTTAAAAGAATTTTTAAATATGCTTGATCTTTTGGACTATTAGTTATATTAAAAAAGAATAGAATAATAACAGGTGCTATACTAATTCCAAGTGTTGATAATAATGCCCAAGTCATAACAGAAAATGGTTCAGCTCTTTCAACATCATCATCATCGTCACTATCACTTCCTTCATTATAATGTGGTGGAGCATAGGCTTCATTTGCTTCTCGAGAATATTTAAATGAAGCTGGTTCGTCGTCGTGCGCATGACCATGTCCATGTACGTGTCCGTGGTCATGTCCATGATCGTGAGAATGTCCATGTCCATGATCATGAGAATGACCGTGAGAATTTATCTTACAAACTAAGATTGTTAAAGTAATAAACACAAGAACTAGAAGACGTCGTGTCATGATCTAAAATTATAGAAATTTATTTGTTATCCTTTTTCCTTGATACATTTTATCTAACATTAGATGATCAAATTTCATTATCCAGTCTCGTCAGAAAAAAATTGAATGGTATGCGAACACATACATTGCAAAATATTTGTCAATATATATCTAATACTCATATTTCTCAATTTTATTTTATCTCGAAATAATATTCACATTTATTGTTTATTAGTTTAACAAACAACAAAATTCTACGTTTAAATCTTTACTAAATCTAAAAAAAAAACAATTACAAATAAAACTCAACTTATCTGAATATCAAATCTACAAAAAATGTAAATAATCGAAACATATTACTGTATATATATAACTTTATACAAACACACATATTATATGTGAAAACTACTACAAACAAATTCGCTCTACAAAAAAGAAAGCAGTGATGTCCTATAATTCGAATATTTAACTAATCTATCACAGTAAAAAGAAAATGGCTACGGAATTTGAAAATTAATCTAATTGTTGTTTATCTGGATCACTCAGATGTCTAGCGAGATCTTTTAACATTCCAAATGCACGTATACGTCTTCGCCCTATTAAAAAAAAAAGTTTTATTCATTTTTTTATTAATATTAAATAGACATACCAAATAATCTAGCAAGTGTTTCATCACAATTAACATATTGTTTATTGACAGGATCCAATAAATTATGTTGTTTAAAATAAACCCACATACGTTTAACAACTTCTGATCGAGGCATCTACATATATTCAATAAATAAACATATATATATATATCGTTAAAATGAATAAAAAATTTACTCGATGTCCTCCAACAACACAAGCTAATTGATCACTTATATCTAATTCTTTATTATAACATGTTCGTCGTCGTTCAATTTTAAGTGCAGCTGCTGTAGATTGTTTATATACTATTGAACTAGCTGAAGTTGTTCGAACACTTGGACGATTTTCTTGTTGAGGAGTTTCTACTGGTATTTCTTTATCTGTTTGTTTATTTTGCTCATCATTTGATTGTGTAGAAATATTATTTGTTTGTGATTCATTAATCACTGTTGTACATTGTAAATCATTATTCACAGGAATAGGTTCAACAGGTGCTGAAATTGGTACTATATCACGTGCTGTTATTTCTGACATAAGTATATCATCAATTTCTTTTTTTCGTTCAGTAAAATCACAGTTAAATATCGTTTCAAGTGTTTGTCGAACTTTTTTTTGATGATAAAGTATTTAAATCAGCATCTTTAAGAATTATTTGAATTTCATGTCGTAATTTATCAGCACTAATTGAAGACATTATAATTATTATGACGAAGAAGGTAATACAAGGTTATAGACGTAAGGTAAATATATAACGAATAAGAGAAAAGAAAAGAGAATGTATGACCTGTTGTTCAACGAAATATGATGTCCTTCACTCATTTGTTATGCTTTTATTACCAATGAAAATTTTATTTTTTTATATTTATTCAGAAAACTATTTATAAAAGTTTTAAAAATCTTCAAATAATCTTCTCAAATTACTACACAATGTTATATCTCAATTTATTAAATAGATGTCAGTAGTATATAGACTGGTATCTTTAAAAAAATGAAGAAAAATTTATGTCAAATTGTCCTACAAATGACATTTAATATTTTTAGAATAGAGATATATGAAACCTTTTGTTTGAAAATAAAAATAGATTTCTAAGCATTCATCAAATGATATTCTTTTAAATAACAAGTTGAAACTCAATCTATAAGTAATCTTATATTTTATAGATTTGATATAAAATTACAAAGAAAAAAAGACATTTGTTCATGTTTTGAATTATTTTCTATTATAAGAACTACATGTCGTTTTTTTTTAAATAAATCATTATAAAAAAAAAAGTCTATTTGTAAAGACGTAGGATTATAAATATTAGAGCTTAAACATGTTTTTAGTAATTTCCTTTTATTTCCATCACGCCCACTTATCCTTTCAGATCCTATTGTTATAAGTAAATATCCGGTATAAGTTTAAGTGCATTCAAGATAAATTCTATAGAAATTTCACTTGATAGAATTTTCTTTGTTTTTGAATCTATTAATTTATTATAATCAAGATTTTGTTTACTTGAAATATTTTTGTAAAAAAATATTATTTATGTCAATAGATATCGATTTCATTGTTATTCTCTTTGTATTTTTTTATCTATTATTCAATCATTTGATGAAAATGTTTAAATGTTATTACGCATTATAAATAAAGTTATTATCATCTTCTCAAATGACTTTAGGGTAACATTCGATCTCTCCCACCATCTCATCACACATATTGATATGTAGAAGAAAAAGAGAGAATGAGAAATGATCTTTATTGCAAATGACAAATCATTTTGCTTTTTTTTCTTCATCTTTCATTACACATCATCTCGTTTAGTTCGCCTCTGGTGCATATAACTCTATAATATATTAGTTAGTCGTCATTCTCTATATCCACTTCTAATGATCTGTATCCTGTTCATTGTTATTGAAGAATAGTTTTGTAGCAAGATGGAAACAGCAGTTGTTGCGCTCTTATATATATATATATATATATATTTCTGTATGTTAGAAGGAATTTTTTTTTTCTCTTTACCTCTGAATAGATTAATGGAAAAGAAGGGCGTGCCTTATTAGGTCTTTTTGCTTTAACCTATTTTTAGACTTCGAGTTCTTTAATTGATTTGATCGTCTTTAGTTCGTTTCGAGCCGCTTCTCCTCGTGGGACGTCGCAAAAGATATTATCGCCATAGGATATTTCCGAGTACTTTAGACGATTAACAAACACATATAGAAATATTTCCAGATTCAATCTCATTGACATACATTACCTTAATGAATAAACAAAGTTAATAAAACAGAAACTCAAACTGTTGATAATTCCCTTTCGTCAACAAGTCGTCTCGAGTTCTTCTTAATCAATAATCAACTATATAAAGAGCATACATAAAAAAATGGGATAAGAAAATGCCGCAATATATATAAATGAGAATATAAAGAAGAGAGTCTGCAAAATCGATGATCATTGCTTCACATAGATAATCACTGATTGCGCCATGAGAAGGAACTGTCAACGTCTTATCTGTCTCTGTGTATAACTTGAGTAAAAACACATGACAATAAAGAAAAGGACACAAAAAGAACAATTAAGTTTCGTTTGATCGTGTCTAGGTCATACCCATGAATGCCTTGTCATATACGCACACACACAAAAAAAGAAGAAAACAAGATTCTAAAGCTTCTGTTGATGATGATGATGATGATGATGATGAAGACGAGCGACAACATCGAACGGATTCCAGCTTTAATTTATACAAAAAGAAAGACAAAATCATTGACAGAACAAGAAACATAATAAAAGAAAACTAAAGAAAACGATGCATACATATGCATCATAAAAGAAATGGAAAAAAAATAATATAATCCGACAAGCCTTAAAAAAACATACACACACATATATATATATATATAACAAGCATTTAATGAAGTTGATGAAAATATACTCTTAACTATATATGTCTATTAACATCTTTTGTAGGTAAAAAAATTAAAAGAAAAATATTCATGTATATATTTAATTTCCTATTTATTTAATTCAATTGAATTAAAGATAATCTAGAAGGTGCAAACAACTCAATTATCACGCTGTATCTATCGATCTATGAGAACGCATTGTTCTCTTCGTCATCATTCCACTTATAGTCGGCCTAAGGCGGCTTGGTTATGTCAGTCCTATAATAATAATCATTATCATCATCGACAAACGACGATAGCAACGATAGACAAGAAAGAATAAAACGAAGACGAAGAAGTAAAAGAAATATCAACTACAACGACTCTTTAAGTAACAGATCTTATCACCTGTTGCTGATCAAACCAATAAAAAGACACATATCGAAATAAATGGTGCACTCAGTTTGCTTTTTAAACTAGACAATATTAAATCATTCATTCATATATATATATATATATATATGTTATATAGTACTTATGTGTAAAAACGTATATACGAAGAAAAAAAAGCGTTAGCTTACTAGAAAAGAAATCAATTTCGTTTTTTTTTCTTTCTTTCTCTTCTCCTTCTCCTTCTTCTTCTTCTTTGGCTCTCCTCCCGCGCCTCCTTCATCGTTCTTCTTTCTCTTCTTTTTATCCATAATTGCTACAATTGGCAACTGTGAAAACACACATACACATACGCACATATACACAGAACACTAGAATCATTCGTACAGACATTGTCGTTACGTTTACTTGTGCGCATATTGTTAAACGACGTCAATTATAATAATAATAATGATAATCTTTTGTTATCTTATACGTTCAATAATCTATTGATCAAGTATTATATTGTTCTCAATTATACATTTATCAAAGTCAACAATAATTCATATTAATTATTTTTTTATTATTCTTTTTTAAAATATTATTATTTTATTATTATTATTATTATTATTATTATTATTGAGATATCCTTTGTAGAAATCACGAATGTGACTCTTAAGTTAATGTTTTATTCAATCGTTTTCATAGTTTTCTTCTATATTTCAAATAAGAAAATCATTGCTCAACCATGTGCTCCTACATCGGATCCATTAATACGATGTACAACACAAGGTCTTATACGTGGTATACGATCAGATTTTCTTATAAATACATCAAATTTAACAACAGCATCAATTGAATCGAAAAGTGTTTATGCTTTCTATGGTATTCCATATGGTGAAGCACCAAATGGTGAAAAACGTTTTCGAAAACCACTTCCTAAACGTCCATGGGCACGTGGAACTATTTATAATGCAACAAAATTACCTAATTCATGTTATCAAATGATTATTGAATTTTTTAATACAACAGGCGAAACAATTTGGGCACCAACAACACCATTAAGTGAAGATTGTCTATATTTAAATATTTGGACACCTGCAACAATTCGACAACAACCATTAGCTGTTATGGTCTGGATTTATGGAGGAGGTTTTACATCAGGATCAGTAAGTTTACTTTAAAAAAGAGAAGGAAAACAAAAACAAAAATTTTTGTTTATATATATATTAGAGTACATTAGAAATTTATGATGGTTCAATATTAGCAACAACACAAAATGTTATTGTAGCTTCAATGGAATATCGTGTTGAATCACTTGGTTTTCTTTATTTGGGTACACCAGATGCACCAGGTAATCAAGGTTTATATGATCAATTATTAGCAATGGAATGGATACATAAAAATATCAAAAGTTTTGGTGGTGATCCTCAACGTATAACTTTATTTGGTGAATCAGCCGGTGCAGTTTCTGTTGGTTTACATTTATTATCACCAAAATCACGTCCATATTTCAATAATGCTATATTAGAAAGTGCTGGACCAAGTGCTAAATGGGCTGTTTTAAGTCCACATATAGCAAAATATCGTTCAATAGAATTTTTAAATGCTTTTACAAGTTATATAACTGATCGTTTTGAATCAGGACCAACTGATCCTGAATATGCTTATATACCGCGTGAATGTCAAAAACGTATGATAACAATAGAAGATAAATTTGAATGTGTTAAAAATTATCCAATATTAAGTCAAAATCATTTTCGTTCATCCTGGGCACTTAAATCATATAATGGTGGACCTGTTGGTTATACATTTGTACCAACTGTTGATGGTGATTTTATTCCATATGATCCTGAACAAATGTTAATGAAAGGTGATTTTAAAAAATGTCCTCTTCTATTAGGTGTAAATAAAGATGAAGGACCCTATTTTATAATCTATGTTCCACATGGTAATATGGCTATTAATTCAACAGCATATGTTGATTATAGAACATTTAAAAGTGCTGTTAATGATTATTTTGAATATATGCCAACATATCCAACTAAAAGAGCACCGATGTTATTAGAAAGTATTTTACAAACATATACAAGATGGCATGATTATAATAATACGATACAAAATGCTGTTCAACTGGGTCAAGCCGTTGGTAAAAAAACGATTTGTTTATTATTTTGACTCGAATGATATTTATATGTGTGTGTTTATTTTGATTATTTTGTTTCAGGAGATTATCATTTTACATGCCCGACAGTATTTCTTGCTGATGTTTATGCCAAAGAGAATCTTCCGTTATATTTTTATCATTTTACTTTACGTTCTTCAACAAATCCATGGCATGAATGGATGGGTGTGCTTCATGGTAATAAGATCGTTTCTAGGTTTTTATCAGTTTATCTTAAAAATTGTTTACATAAATTTAGCTGATGAGATCATGTTTGTTTTTGGTGAACCATTAAATGTCACTGATTCTCTTCATTATACACATGAAGAAATAATTATTAGTCAAAAAGTGATGGCGTATTGGACAAATTTTGCTAAATATAGGTAATCGATATTCTTTGATCATAAAAACAAAGAAGAAGAAGAAGAAAAATAATAAACAAAGAGTCTATATTGATTAATTTCTTTTCCTGTTTCCTTTTTTTTTTCTTGTTTTTTCAAGAGTCATCAATGAGATCAATACCCCATCTGTATGTATCATGCTGATAAAAGTTAATGATGACAAATGAGTTACTCGAAAAAAAACACATATCGTTACAGGATGTTTTGTTAGGTGTAAATAATTGTCATTTGTCAAAATACTTGTCAGTAATATATTTACTTAAGGAAAGAAATATCTCCTGATGAAACATATTTATTGTAATCATTTTTCAATTTAAAAGAAAACCAAAAAGAAGAAGAAGCAGAAGAAATATAATCTAAACATTTTAGTAATCCAAATCAACGACATGATGCACAATGGGCGAATGAATGGCGTCAATATAAATGGCCAAATCGAGAACATATTGTATTAAATACGAATTTAAGTAAAAATCTTTTTCCTGATCATGGTTTAGCTATACGTGCTGAATATTGTTCATTTTGGCTTGATTTTATACCCAAATTAGCGACTGCTACTTGTATGTTTTTTTTTGTATTTCGAAAGATATTTATTTCGATATTTTTTTTGTGTTATAGCAAATATTAGTGAAGAAGAAACACGATGGAAAACAGAATTTCGTCAATATCAAGATCGTATACAACAATGGGATTATCATTATACAAAATACTTAGAATTACTTGAAAAAAGTAGCGACAAACTACGTGATTGTCTTGGTTAGAGAAGAGTGATTATCTTTGATAGTTTTGTTTTTCTATAAATCATTTTTTTTTCTCTTCTTGTTCCGTCCACTTGTTTTGTTATCTTCTACCTCATTCTTTTCCCCTTTAGAGTTCTTTTAAGTATACATCTTTTCATTTATCATGTACGAGTTATATTCGAGAATAATACTTGATTTTCTTTCTATGTTGTATATATATTTTATTAAATATTGTCATTCTGTTGTATTTGTCTGTCTATGTATGTGTGTTTATTTTGATATGATAGAAATGTTTTTTTTTTGTTTTTTGTTCTTTTTGATTTTCATGATTAATAATAGAAAAGTCCAAATACAGTAACAGCACAAAAAATTTTCGTATTTGAATAAACATATGATGCGTAATTATCTGTTTGAATATCCCATAAACAACGACATGTCATCATTAAATTATCATTTTGACATTGTCCTAATACAACTTGTATAACATATTTATATCGTTCATAATTTAATGTTTTCATTGCATCTTTTATTATTTGTGAAAGTTCTTTCGATAATTGTGTACATTTATTCGAATCATATTCATTTTGTTGATCAATTGTTTGTTGAATTAATTGTTCAAGCATTTCTTTCACTTCACGTGTATTAAATGGATGAGATGATTTCGAACATATTGGATCTAATGTCGAATAATTCATAATTAATATATAAATATACGAATAAAAATTAAAAACAAAACAAAGAATTTTTAATTATGGCGCATACATAATTATTGATAGTATGTATAGATAAAGAATAGAGAGATAAATCGTATCTAGTATAATCATTCTTAACATTCTACAAGATACGGTTATCTTCTTGTTGTTTAAAATTATCATTAATTAAAAATCGTTTAGAAATGAGAAACATATGAGTTTTTAAGTAAACCAAACGAAAGTTTACAAACATGATAACGATATACTATGACATTAATGTATATTAAATTACCCTTTTAGTATAACTAGTTTAGAAGAACATCTGTCTGATGGTAGAAGGTTCGTAGGTCGAATACCACTAACGATTATCTATTTCTCTGTTCTGTCAAATACATTACCTCGTGTTCTAAGTCGTCCATAGTTTTTTCTTCAAATCTATATCAATTTATTAAAGACATGAAACAAGAATATCGGTTAACAAATATTTCATTAATGTATCTATATATAATATAATACAGAAAACGAAAAAGAGAAAAATTTTAGAATAAAAAAAACGCAAACAACTAAAAGTTAATAAGTGTCTGTTTGTTTGACTAGTTGGACGGACGGATTTAATAAAAAAAGAAAAGAACACATTTTCTTCAAAATAAATTATCTTAATGGTGGAAGAAGTGAACTTTTCCCATTACAATCCGTTATAAATGAATGTGGTGATTGTTGTTTACTATCATCTAATAATGATGGATTAATTAATGATGATGATTTTGTTGTTATTGATCGTTCTCTATTTCGTTTTTTTTTGTTTACGACAACAAATAAGAAATAAAAGACTAAATATTCCAATAAATATAACAATTGTTGATAAACTAAATGTTAAAAAAAACAATAATTGTTTCTTGTCTTTTACGTTTATTATTCGCTAATTTTTGTGTCATTAAACGATGATGTTGAGATGTTTCAAGTTGTTTTTCATATTCATTAACAAGATAATCTCGATCAATTGGTGTATCACCAATTAATATTACTAATTTATCTTGTTTTATACATGGTTCCGGGAAAAATGTATCTGTTAATGTATAATCAAGTATTATTATTGATGGAATTTTTGTTGGAAGTTCTTCTATTGTTAATAAACCATTGGAATTTAAATTAAATATATGTGAATATGTTGATGGAAGTAATGTAAATGTTATATTTGTTTGATCAGATATATCTTTATCAAATGCAAATAAACGATAGAGAAATTTTTCAATTGAAGTTTTTTTTAAAAAACGTTGACGTGATATAAATATATATGGATCAGAAGTAAAATTTATTAAATGTGGACAATATTCATTAAGATCATTTACTTTTATATTTAATTTTGCTTCACTTGATAGAGGTGGTGTACCTTGAAAAAAAAAGAAAAATTATTTTATTATAGAGATAAAAAGAAAGATTTTACCATGATCTCTAACAGTAATAATAAATTGATGTATATGTTGTTGTTCAGCATCGGGTATTCGTGTAACTAAAACTTGTCCTGTATGACTTGTATGAAAAAAGAATTCGGAATAGGGTGTTATTGAACGAAGTGAATATGTTAATTCACCACGTCGAGTACCAGGTGAATCTTTATCTTTACCAATAATTTGACCAACAATCGTTCGTACAGGGACATTTTCATCAATTTGAAAAAAATATTCATTTCGTTCAAATTCAGGTCGATGATTAAGACCTTCAACTGATATTGATACTTGTGTTTGACTTGAATGTTCACCATCGGATACAGTTACATTAAATGTTATTGTTTGATCAGTCATATTCATTGATAATGGTGAAATTAAACTTATTTGACCTGTTTGAGAATCAATACGAAATAAATTTGAATTTAATGAATAAACAAGAGAATTTGTTGATGAATCTGGATCAATTGCATGAACTTGACCAACAACTGTTGAATCAAATGTTGTTGATGATGATTGAATATTTGTTATAAAATGATAATGTTCATGTTCAAAATTTGGTATCATATCATTTATATCATTAATTATAATATTTATTATAAAACGTGTTAATTCACCACCACCATCAATTGCATCAAGAAATAAAATAAGTGATGATTCAATTTCATGATCTAATGGATTTATTAATTCAATCTAAATATTAAAAAAAAATAAAAATATTTCATTAATAAATAAATATTTTATTTTTACTTTATAATGTTTCATTGATGTTGGTTTAAGTTGAAATGCTTGTTGATGTTTTTTACTTGTTGTTTGTACAATTAAAGTTAATTTAACTTGTCCATAACTTCCTTGATCAATATCATCAACAGTAACCATAGCTAAAAGTCCTAATGAATTTTCCATAATATTTATTTGTGAATTATTTTTAATAATGTCAATTGATGAAATAATTTGTCGAACTTGAATATTTGGTTTATGATCATTAATATCTTGAATAATTAATTCAACTGGATGATATACAGGTAATGTTGAACTCATACGTGAACCACAATCTTGTGCACGAATTGTTAATAATAAATGATTATTTGATTGTAATAATGGTATTAAATCATTTGATGTTAATAATAATGGTTGATTTATAGATATACAACCAGTTTCATTATTTAAATGTAAAAATTCATTTAATTTATCATCAAAATGATCAAATGAATAAATAACACGTCCATTATTACCTTCATCAGGATCATAAGCTTGAACACAAATTAATTCTCCTATATAAAAGAATATTAACGTCTATAATCCTCATTACGAATGATTTATTCTTATATGACTATATTCAAGTTTTCCATTATCGATTGTTAACATTTACAAAAAAAAAATTAACTTGACATTTAGAATAAAAACATCTCTACATTTTCCCTATGAAATATTCTACTTGTCAATAGGTTTTGTTTTCTCTCCCAATCATCTATAATAAATGATCTTCTGAATATAAAATGATAAATATGAATTTTACATGTTAGATTCTTATAAAATCAATTTTCAATGACAAATAACTCGAAATATCACTCAAAGACAATACGTTTTTTCTTTGTCAAGTATTCGTTTATTTAAGAAGTACTTGAATGATTTTAGAATTAAAATCGAAGTGCAAAAATTAGCCTAAAGGTAAGTAGATCTAAAATTCTTTTCTTTTTTTTTTTGTCTTACCAGTAAATGTTTCATTAACATAAATATTTGTTAAATTAGTTAAAAATCTTGGTGAATTATCATTAATATCTAAAACTTGTATAATAATTTTCATTTTAGCTTGTTGTTGTTGTTTATCAGTTGCAATAATCCATAAATCTTCATATCTATCACGTTCTTCTCGATCTAATGGTTGATTTTTAATTCTTAAACATAAATCATTTCCAATTGTTTGTTCAATTTCAAATTTTTCACTACCATTACCAATTAATTGATAAATAAATTCATTTGTTTCAGATAAATCTTTATCATCAACAGTTGGAATTCTATAACATTGTCGATGTTGAATATTTGTATTTTCAGGTATACGTAATTGTATTTCATTATAACGAAATGAATGTAAATTATCATTTAAATCATTTATTGTTATATTAACAAATATAATTTGATGTTGTGGTTGTGAAAGTATTTTTAATTGTATTGAACATTGTGTTAAACATGAACAAAATTGTTCTGCACATAAATATTCACGATCAAGTGTTTGTAGTACATAGAGATGTGTTTGATTTTCAATGGAAAAATATTTATGTAATTGAGCATTTGTTGATACTAATTGATAAGATCGAATTGAATTTGGTAAATTAAATGATAATAAATGTTTGGGAGAGATTTCATTTTCATTTATTGATATATGATGATAACGAGAATGTAAACGAGAATAATAACAAGGAGAATTGAAGAATATTAATATGATATAGATATGAATAGAAAACATTATCTAAAGAATAAAATGAATGAAGAAGATAAAGAATATCTATTTCTGTATTTCGAAATCTTACAATTTAGTTATATGCACGAGATGGCTTCTGTTTTTTTATATGGACCTTGAAAGTAGTATTATTGATGGAAGAGAAAAAAGAATTATGGTTATTATTTAGAAAAGATCGTTTTCTTTAATTCTTACGCACGATAGACGAAAATAGAAGATTGCAGATTGTAATTGAGCACGTCGACGGGTTTTTTACAATCGATATATTGATCGATCATTTGGAAAAAAAAGTCAGAGAGAGAGAGTGAGGGGGATTTATTCTAAATTATACCCACAAATTTGTCGGTCGTTCTAAAGAGGAAAACAATCTGTCATCATCATCATCATCATCATCATGATTCCTTTTTTCTCATTTCGTACAACAGTATTGCTTCCCTTTTTCTTCTTCTTCTCTCTTACTCTCTCTTTTTTCTAAGCGGCATTCAAAAAAAAACTGCAACCAGAAAAAAAATGACCCTTATATATGCATTTCTATTATTGATTTCACACAATTTCTAGCTCCTCATATACTCGAGGTCGTTTATATAAAAACTTCCGTCTACTTGACACTCACATACATACACACATATATATACGACGGAAGTAAAGACAGAGAAAAGAAAGAAGAAAGATGAATTGTCATAAATACTAGAAGGCAAAAAGGCGATTATTACTGCATGAATTTTGATTGCCAACTTAAAAAAAATAGTGACGAGACAATACTTAACAACCAACTAAATATACCTGTTACTTATTATAAAGACATACTTGAATATAGTTACATGATTAAATTTCCACATTATTTAAACAGGAAAATGATTGATTTATATTGTTCTCAATTAAAATCTTCCTATTCTCTTTTGCATGTTATCTTTTCCTTCATTTCTTTTCTTTAAATGCAAACATCATCCGAAACGAAGAATTATTGTGTTTAGTGGCTTGGAAAAAAAACGAGTTCTTTCTTATTATCATTTTGAAATAGTAAAAAAACGTAGAAAAAATGTTGACATATATTGATGATGGAATCATGAATTTTTTTTCTCTACTTAATTACTTGGCCTTTATCAAATGAACGTAGACATTCTCGTTTTTTTTCTTCTTCTTCTTCTTTTACTACATGGCTTCTGTCTTGAACAAAAGAAGACAAGGATTCTTATAATAAAGAATTTTATATTTTCCGTAGGCAAGCTTGAGATTATTCTTAAAGCGAAAAACGTTTTACTTTTCTTTCTCTCTTTTTCTTCTCCACCCATCGAATTTCTTCCTGGTACTATCCCTACCGTGTTAAGTAAAGGACAAAACAACAATAGCATATATATATCGCCACTGGAAATATACATACGGGTGATATCTGCTCAATCAAATAACTGACAAACTAACCACAACAGATTGATAGATGAATGTTTGTAGAATTTCTCTTGAAAACGCTTCCCCGGGTAGTAGCTCAATGACCTTTTCTGATTTTTTTTCTTTATATACTATTGTGTATCTTTCTTGTATTCCCTCCTTCTATCGTTATTATGTAAACGAGCTTTTTTTAGATAAACAAACAACATATAACTCAATCGTCCCCGTGTGGCAACACTTGTGCTGTCAAATGGACAGATGCTAAGTGGCTGACTCAACTCATTCTACTAATTTTATAAACACCATTTTCTTCTTCTTCTTCTTGTTCTCTTTTTTGCTTCGTGTCACCCTTATTATCATATAGAAAGAAGAATTATTATTATCTAATCTTCTTCATATCATACTTCTACTAAGGCTAAGCTTAATAATTGATTTTCAAACTTTGAGAAGAAGAAGAAGAAGAAAAAAAAGGACACATTCATCCTCAAGCAAGATAGAGTAAAGAAAAAGAAAAAAAGAAAATATGTCTTCATATATATATGATGCAACTCGATTGCAATTCCAATACGAATAAAAAAAAAACGAGAAAATGGAGATGGATCAGAATAGAAAAAGGAGAGACCTTCAGGCCACGGCTACTCCTAACACCAGAATCACATGAGACAAAAAGGAAAACCGTTTAATGATTAGTTAAATTATCGAGAATAAGAATACGAACATGTAAGAGCTTTTAATGAGTTCTGTTTCTGACCCATACTACTACTACTACTATAGACGACATTATTGATCTTGTTCATACATACTTACATAAAAACTAATCCGAATAATGTTCAGAATATTTGAACAATTAAGCAGAAGGTTATAATAATCGTCTAAAAGTCTTATTATAGAGAAAGAGAAAGCAAACTGTTCGTTAAATATCATTCTCATTATTGAATAATAATCGGATAACATTCATTCTCATCTTTCTTATATAAATGAACATGTACGCATAATTATTCGATAGTGTCTTGTTCTGTTACCGTTTATTCTTAATAATAACATTGATATTTGTATTTTCCGTCTATTATCTCTTTAAGCACGTTCGTTCTCTTTATGGAAATGGATAATGGTCAGTATCATTGAACAGATGACAATTCAAGGATGTTCTGTTTATACGATTGTTCATTGTAATGTTTTTTTCTATTCTCTTCTATTCCTTCGTTTTCTTTTTTTGCTCTGAATAAAATGACATGAACATCAATAGACAAGCATATGATCAAACGTCGGATTGCATTCACCAGACTCGATCAAACGATTCTATATACATAGATATATATTGTTGATGTGAATAACAACGATGGACGCACGCGTGCGAACATTGAATGATCGATGCGATTTTTCGGAAATAAAAGAAATTAAGAGAAATGAAAAAAAAAAGAAATGCAGTCAAAAAGAGACCTGATGATGATTGAACGAAGGCGACAACGATGACCTGACTTGTTCCCTTTTATATTTTTTTGTTCTCATTCTATGCAGACATTAATGAAAACTTCCGGTGTTGGTCACTTACTTCGAACCGCTCATGCACGAGAGACAACGTAGAAGTCGTTAGATAGACTTTCGCTTTTTTTCCTATATATATATATATATATTGTTTGTCCACTTAATCAAATGTGTGCAACTCACACAAATAACATATAACCTATTCTTTTCCTATGTTCGCTAACATTGAATAATTGATCGATGAAAGCAACCACAAAGAAGAAAAAAAAAAGAATTTAGTACAATGATTACGTCATTATTTCATCACTTGTCTATTCCATCAATCAAACCGCTTTACTAGTTGACGAATTTACCTTCTCAAGAGATTCTGAATAGTCAAGAAGAAAAAAAAATCTGTAAGAGAAAAAAGAAAGAATCATCATCATCATCTTCATCATTGTATGTCTGTTTTTTATGGTTCATTGAACTTAAAGTTTCTTTATGACATCATCATCTAACAGTATTAAAGAATAGGAAAAAGGTGAGAGTACATAAAAAGAAATAAATGATAACGACAAAATCAAGATATGAACCGGAAGAAAAATGATAATAACGATTGAATATTAAAATCAATTTGTTTCAGACATTAGAGAAAAAGAGTTAAATTTAATGATTATAGCGTGCATAGATCCTAAGCACGCCTTTTCTCGTTCAAGTGGAATGAGTAATAAAAAGAGGATTTTCATATGAACAAGATGGTTGAACACGCTCAACTAAGAACAACAAATGTGCACACATTATCGATAATTGTCGTATTTTAATAATCAAATTCTATACTTGAAAAAAACACTTTGTCATAGATTGTTGGTGGTGATCAAACAAATCTATTCTTCTCTCTCTCAGTACTTACATGGTGAACTGATAACAATTATTGAACATTGCTTTGCTTTGCTTAGTCATTCATACAATAGTCTTACTGGTACTATTCGATTATACGCATCGATTAAAATCGGCTTCTTTCACTGTTGTTACTCTGCATTGATGCAAATACAATCAATATCTTTTTCTCTTTCTCATTGGCAACTGTGCAATAAGCAGAGGAGAAGAGAAGAGAAGAAGAGAAATACTCTTTAATGTTCATTTATAGTTCTTTTCTCTTTCTTTTTCCCTGTGTGTGTGTGTATGTGTGTGTTCATCACAATCGTTCGATTGCATGCATGCAATCGACAATGACGATGTTGACTAGTAACCACATACACATCAATCAGTCATGACTTTTTACACGTCGTATGTGTCGATGTCAGCTAGCTGAGTCGAGACAAATTATACTTTAACACACATATATATATATATGCATATACAATATAGTTTAAAAGTCTTTTCACAGTATGAACTAAAGCGGATAAGAAGCTTTGAGAAGAAGCTGACATTTTGATCGACAACTGTATATAACCTATATATATATAGTCAAAATAAACATATTTGCCACTGTGCACTCATGTGTTAATCATTTCGATATTCGACCACATGGAAAGATTGAAGAATTTCAAATGATATTGGATAAATGAATGTAAACAAATATTTAAACATTAAACAGATTAACAATATCTAATGATAACCTTCAATATACATAGTTTTTTTGAAATCGAATAGGTATCTTTCGTCTACTTGTTATTTATTTACATCTAACTAATCTCTGGCTTCACATGTTTTTCTTTTCATAAATAAGCAATTAATTTCAAAATATGAAAATTTTTTAATGACTAGTTGTATGTGTTCATATTACATGATAATTTTGTCTATCTGATTGAGTTGTTGACAGGTGTATATCTCTCGCTTCTTTTCATATTCGGTATATTTTGTTTTTTTTCAAGTGATTTCGTGCAATGATGCACAGAGATGAAAGATTGACATTGTCAGTTGTTCATTTATAGATCTTTTTGAAGATGAACGACGACAACTATAAGTATTAATGATGATGAGAATTGAAGGACAATAACATCAATTGTAGGAATATGCGACATACACCAGACACACACGTATACTCTCTTCACTTTTCAATGACGATGAATCGATGACTGGCAACAACTGTTTAATTGTATATATATATATGTAGATATCATTCTGTCGATAGTTAATTATCAGAAAGAGTAAAAAAAATGTCAGCATCTTAACAATTATATATATTGAATATGTGTGTTTTATGTCAATGAATGATGATACAAAGTAGAAAATAGAGAAATTCCAACAGCTGTTTGTCTTTAGTATGGATTATATCCAAAAAAAATATATATAATTAATTTTGATATATTTGTTGAAAAATTTTTATCTAAAATTTACATTTAATTTTAATAGTAGAGATTTATCTTTTTTTTTCTATTCTGAATAAAGTATAATTATTTTTATATAATTGAGATCAAGCTAAGACTCAATTATTAGAAGCTTTACAATTCTCTCTTTACATTCTATTATAAGTTAATTCTTAAATTTCATACAATTGAATTTAACCTTCTAATATTTCTTTTTTTTTTATATAATCATGACATTCTTTTATTGTCTTATAAACAAATACAATCAATGTAAATCATTATTTTGTAAGTTAACATGTTAACCTTGAACATTTTGATAAAAAAATGTTGATGAGCTTTTAACGATAACAAAAAGCGACGAAAAAAGTCAAAAGATTTGACATAACATATACATGCGATGTGTTGTGTGACATTGCAACGACGTGCATTGAACGAACTACTTTATATTTCACGTCCACCATTTCTTATTCCAATTTTTCGTGCACCAACTACAACATCAACAACAATAAGACCAACAACAACAACAATAGATACAACAACTACAAGTACATATAAAATCTTATCAACTATTTCAATACAAAAACGTTTAAAAGGTGATTTTATTAGTACTACTTTACCTTCAAATATGATTAGTCAACGTATATTTGAAAATCTTGTTTTAACAAATACGATTGTGGCTGCATTTTGTATTGTTCTTATGGTAACAATAACTGGATTTCTTATTTTTCTTCTTATACCATCAATTCGACGTCGATGGTTAAATAATGATAAACCAAATAATGAAAGAAAATTTGATGATTTACCAACATTAAGTCGACAACCATCATTTCATCATTTTACATTAGGTCCATCTCGATTTAATCCAATGTTTGAACCAACAACGGGTACAACTACAACAACAACTCAATTTGGAACATTATTTCAACCTCATACAACAACAGCTACTTTACTTCATCCAACCATTTGGACATCAATGTCTCCAACATCTCTTGTTTCAACTCCTATTCCAGCTCAACAACAGCAACAACAACAACAACAACTACAACAACAATTACAACAACAACATATAGTATCAACACCACCATCATCTCTAAAAGTAAAACAACCATCACCAACATCAACAACTTCATCAGCTGCAGCAGCACGACCACCATTACCATCACATCCTCCGACAACAATGCAACGATCACCAAGAAAACGATGATTTTAATCATCGTTTTCGATTTTATATTTCTGTATATACTTTTTCTTTAAAAACATTATTTATTATAAAATTATAATAGAATAGTTTAATATTAACAATCAACTTAATATTAGTTTATGCATATATTTATTTATTGAATCAAAAATTGAAAAATAATGAGTCATACAATCAGATATAGAAATTAGATTTTTTTTCTTATCGAAGAAGCAGAACTATTTGACTAACACAAAATTAAATTAATCTAAAACTAAAACAAAAATACATAATATTAATGATATAGTTTATTACTAACTTGGATAAATATGATCGTATCTTCAATTTATATTGTTTGTAAATTTTCGAAAATGCTCTTTTATATGGTTTTGATGGTAAAATAAATAAAAAAAATGTTAATGTTGATGGACTAAATGACGTAAAATATCCGATGAGAAATATTTTTGAATCAGCTGCTGTTTTGACACAATTACTAGCAAGATATATGATTATACTTGGTAAAGTTAAACAAATTAATAATAATGGACTTAAAATAACACGTTTTTGTTCATCAAATAATTTCCGATTGATGTAAAATTATATGTTCACGTAAAACTTTTATAATAATAACAATAGCTGATAATACATTAATAAAAAATGGAATAAAATAATGGCATAAATTTATAATTGAATCATAAGATTGAAATTTATCTGAATAAGTAACAATATATCAAATTCGTTTATCATAATCAATTAAACGTTGATAAAAAAAATTATAAGAATTGTTTGTTCAATAGCTACACATGTATTTAACCATTGATCAATACTAACAACAATTTGTAAGAATAAATTAATAGATACACATTGGATTTGTAAAAATAATCGATAAGTAATAGGTAATATTTATGCAATAATAAGAATCCAAGATTTAAAAAAATATAATTATAGTAAATCAACTAGCAATTGGTGAAGCTAATAAATAAAAAGCACAACCATTTGTACGTAAAGCTTTTTCTCGAAATGTAATACTTATTTTAACAATAGTTGGTTGATGGAAAATATTAATATGTGGTAAAATATGATAACCTAAAAGAGCATCAAGTGAATGACTAAAACCACTTGAACGAAACTGACATCGTGTTCAATAGAAACATGCTGGACAAAGACATATTGATGTTTGTGAACATGTAAGACTATCTTGTAAACATTTGATATGCTAATTGATAATATTTTATACGACGAAGGGAACGCGTGAAAGATGTATAATATAATGAACTATATTTTAGACATAGAATATCTTCATATAAAAATATTGGTTCATAAATTTTCTTTTTATTAATTATATGAGAACTTCCATCATATCGTTCATCACTACCATCGAGACAATCAGGAAAATTTTTATTATCTTGAAAAAAAGCTTTTGGTATGCATTGTTTATTGTAACATTGATGAATTTCTATTGACGAACAATATTGTTCATCAATTCCATCCATACAATCGATAATACCATCACAAGTTTCACTCCAATCAAGACATGCAAATGATGAACCACGATTACATTGTAAATGGATATAACAAGTCATTTTTGTTGGTTTATATTGATTATTAACATAAAAATTATGAATAATATGGTTGATAATAATCAAATGAATATTGACAAATTGAACCAAATCTTGGTTGTGTACAATTATAGAATACTTGTGTTGTCAATAATGTTTCATTTGTTATTAGAATTTGATTTAAATATAATTGATATTGTTCGGCAATATTCATAGATGCTGACCATAGATATATTTGTTGAGTAGTAATATGTTGTTTATAAAATTCATAAAAAGGAAATTTTTTATCATAAATATTTTCTTCAATATTCCATTTTGATGGTCATTCACTCATACAAAAAGAAAGAATCTCATAAGGAGCATTTTCTGTTTTGAATGAAATAGCAATTCGTAAACAATCATGATATAATATAATATCATTCGAATTTTTGTCAAAATCAAAGGTAAAAAAATAAAACAAAGTAAAATTCTGATAAATAGCATCATCGATTACTTTTTCATTGTTAAAAATATCACACATAGAATGATTTTCTAATGTAACTATTTATTAATTCCAGCTTTTATTTTTTGTATATAAAGTTTTACACTTATTCTTGTAAAATGCTAGAGATACAAATTAAAAAATATCATATGGCTTTATATTCAAGAAAAGTTTGTTCTAAATACAAATGACGGCGGTCTGCATCATATTTGCATAGTAATATATCAACACAAGTTGTAAAAAAAAATAATAAATTGACGTAAATATCATTTTTTTTTGATATGAATAGAAATGATGACGTCTGAAGTTAATCAACATAAAATATTGTTATTGTAAAAATTGAAGTACAAATTATGGAAAGTAACGATCTTTTAACTGATTACACATTATTTCGTCATCGTGTAAATAATTAATATCGTTTCTCGATTTCCAACCAGAGAAATACTATACCGGCTAATACTTTGACAATAAATAAATACACGTTAAGAATGGTGATTTAGCTCTTTTCATAAAAAAAAAGAGTCGTTTTTCTTCATCTCGAAATATTTACTGAAATAAACAAATAATTGAAGGATAGAATACTTTTACAACGTTTATATTCGCTTATAAAAGTCTTCCGTTGTTATATATCACATAAACAGTGGACTAAAAGTCCTGACTCATTTTAAATACTAAATTTTTTTTCAATGAGTTGTTTATTACTATCCTAGATTGATCATAAAGTAAGTTTTTTAATCATTATTTTTATAAAATTTTCTTTCTATCGTTTCTTTTTTTTCTTCTTCTCATATTTCTTTTGTTGTTTATTCAGTAAATAATGTTTTCATTCTAATGTATGTATTCAAGTAACAAAATTCTAATAAAATCAATGCTTGCTCGATTCGAGACATTTTCATTTAAAATGAAAGTATATTTCGCTGATGTCAGTTTACAACATGTGACGAAGAGAGAGAGAGAATAATATTATTTTTAAGGTTGTTAATCGACAGAGTATGGAATATTATTTCAACTTATAATACCTTTAAGGCATAGCCATCAATCACATTTTTAAAGATTAACAAACTGTTGACTATTTCAAGTATTGTATTGAGATTATTTTGAAGTGAACAATGTCTTTTAATCAATTTAGATAATAACATTTACGTAAGAAATGATATTATTCATTACATAGTTGAAAAAAGAAACTCTTTCAAAGAATAGAAGAGAATATCTCATTTCTTTTCTCTCTCTCTCTTTTTTCTCTATCGCGTCACCTTGGTGAATTTTACGTATATTATTTAACTGTTTTAAAATATTTTTTCCAAAAAAAGAATTTACATTAACAATATTATTATTATGATGACTAATTTTCCTTTTTTTTTCTCGAGGCGCGTCTCTAATCTTTTATTTATTATTTGTTTTGTTTTTGTCTCGGTGACTATTTCTCGTTTTACTTTATTTTATAATGACAGGAAGTGTTCGTACATCGACAGGAACATTTGATGGTGGTGGTGGTGGTAATTCAATAGTTGAACAAACAACTGATATAATCAATCGTTTTCGTAATAGTCTTATACGAAGTCGTAAAGAACGTTTATTAGATGAAGATGTTCAAGCAACAGAAAATATTGTTAAACAATTACATTTTAGTGAATTAATAGCAAAAGAAACATTAGGAAAATTAATATTTCAAGGAGATTCAATGCAACGATCTTATAATTTAATAAATCGTTTAGAAAAAGAAATCAAAGATATTGCAGATGATTTAAATGAAGTTAATGGAGGAAAATGTTGTGGTGCTTGTGCAAATGGTACATGTTTTGGTTTTACTTGTTTTGGATGTTTAAATAAAAAACCAAAAAAACGTAAACAAAAAACTCCAAAAAAATTAAAAATTATTCCAGAAAATCAAATTCGTTGGGTAAAAATAAGAAATTATACAAAGAAATATTTTTCTTTATTGAATATTTAGAGTTCAACATCAGAACGTGAAGAAATGATAACACGAACACGTGCATTAGCACGTAATCGACGTGAACATCCTGATTTTCTTCAAACAATTAATCAAGTAAATAATATTCAAAATAAACAAATCGAAATCAATGAAAAAAATCAAAATCAATTACGTGATTATCTTTTACAACATCATTCATTATCCTATGGTTATATTGATCAACCTGAACGTTTATTTAATGAAATAAATATGGCAACAAATTTTACACAATTAAATCTCTATTTAGATAATTTATTAAAAATGACTGAAATTATGACAAATGAAGTTAATAAACATAATATTGTTATAACGAAAATTGAAACACAAGCTATGCAAAGTGGAGATCTTCTAACGGATTATACATTACTTGGTCATCATATATTAGGTTCTTCACCAACACAACATCAAACATTAACAAATATAAATACAATGACACCGAATTTAAATCCATTAACGATGGCAAATGGACAAAAAGTTCTTTTAAATGCTGTTCTTTAATTTTTTATAACGAAATAATAAATAATCTTTTTTATTTTTTCTATGATTTATATTATTTTTATTTTTCAGATATAAAATGACATCAGAATATTATTTTTATGATCAATTTTCCCAAGGATCTCATATCGGTGGTGTTCATCGATCTAGACGAGATTTTAAAGATTTAAATCAAGCTTTGTATCAATCGAGAATAGCTTCAGCTGTCGAAGATTATGAGACAAATAAATCAGAAATTCTAACACCTAATGCACTTAAAAAACAAACTAGTAATATAGTAGATCCACCAATTATACCCGAATTATTAACTAAAGAATTAGATACATATTTAAATATATTTAATAATAAATCAAAAAAAAATTCAATATCGAATTCATCAAAATTAATAAAAGACAATGAATTAAACAATTCAACATCAATTCTACCAAAAATATCTTTACCTAGTTCATTAATTGTTGGTTTACATTCAACATGGTCTGATTTAATTAAAAATACCGAATATAAATATAAAGTAAATTCATATTTCTTTTATTAAAAATCTTCTTTTTTACTTTCTCTATGTAAAGACATGGCGAACTAAAACAGGTGAAGATCATTGGCATCAATATATTAAACAGAAAAATTCCGAACAAATCAAATCTGAAAAACAACAAGATAATAAAACAATAATTCATCGTCGAAGAAATTCACATGTAAGTATTCAATCAGGAATAAAAAATACCCAAATAAATGCAAATCAATCATCTTTGGTTAATACAACTGATCCAATACATGATCATCAACGTTCATTAAAAACAACTCATCAAAGTACTTCAGAACATGGAGTAGAAACAATTAAACATGGTATACATGTTGAATTTCGATTATCAACACAACTTCTTAAACAAGTACAGAAAATACAAATACATGAACAAAAATGTAATTGAATTTATTATATTTTAAAAAATCTAATTTATTTATTTTATTATTAGTTGTTCTATTCGATGTACCAAAACAAGGAACTGATTTTGATCAAGAATTAATAAATTTAACACAAAATAAATGTAAACGTTTATTAGCGGAAACAAAACAAAAAATGTTTGTTATTTTTAATTTATTATTTTGATTTTATTTCTGTTTATATTTATAGACTTGCAACAAATAACCAAATTGATATTAAACATCCAAAAATTTGTCAAGTTTGGTTTTATGATGATAATCCATTAAATCGAAATAAAAATAATTTATTATTAATAAATGAATTTAGTCGTTAGTTATTTTATTATTTTGAAAAGAATTTTGATTTTAGCGCTCTTTTATAGGACGACAAAAATCGAAATTTATACTCTCAGTTTTACGACATGAAATTCCACAAAAATATAATATTAATATTGATATACCTGAAACGAAACGTAAATGTTACATTGAATTAATAGATGGCTCAACTCAAATATAGTAAATTTTAATAAATTTTGTTTTTTTTAAATACCATATCGATTAATTATAGTTATCCATCTGGCCGTTTGGCTGTTTTACGACTTCGATCGCCATTCTCAACAACGCTCTTTTACGATGATACTGGAATAACAGCAAAACAATTTCTTGGTCTTGTTACATCAACTGGTAATATCGTTATAATGCAGCCAACATTTCATGCTCGTTTTATAACAAATAATCAACATGAATCAGCTTATTTATGTAATGGAAAAACAGGTGTTATTGAAAAACAATTTCAATCACATTTCAAAACTAAAGGTCGAAGACAATCAATTCCTATTGATGAAAATGATACGAATTTGACACTACTTGAAAATACAGTTCAAATCCAATTAAATTCATTTATGCAACTTGAATATAATAATCCAACGAATATACGTTTTGCATTTACATGTCATAATGAAGAATTTAAATTTCAATTAGGAGCTCAAATATCAACAACACCAACACCGACATTATCAGATACACCAACACCCATACCTACAACAAAAAAATTCTTAGGAGATAATAAAAGTCAAAGAAAAAGAACAATTTCAACAAATACAAATATTTCCGAGAAACATCAACAAGGACATTCTCAAAAACAAATTGATGAACAACTTGATACACGTTATTTATTATTTATGAAAGAATTAAATCTATTAAAAGAACGTTTTAAAAACATTTGCGATACTTGGCTTAAAGAATATCGAACAGTATTAGGTAGATTTTTCAACATCGAATAAACTAATTGTGTAATTTTTATTTTTAAGGTATTATGGATATTGATGCTTATTGTTTTTCTGATATTTCATCAACAGTATCACAACCTATCGATGATATAAATCAAAATCAAAATGTTAAACAATTTGAACATGTACCAATATTAACAAAACGAACTACATTTAATATAGAACCTATGAAAAATTCAGCAAAAACATCCGAAGGTATAAATTTCTTTTTTTTTTCTAATATTTTTAAAAACAAAAATAACTTCTTCTTCTAGTGAATATTATAACAAATTCAATTGAACAATTCATACCTCATTCTGATGTTGGTCGAGCAATAAAACAACGGATTTATTCTGAGAAAAAAATTCTAACAAATATTTTACCAGCTATTAAATAAATAATCAAGAGAATAAATTCATTTTCAACCATCATCATCATCATCGTATCAATGTTATAATGATTAACTAAACAAAAAGAAAATACATCTATTATTTTGATTCAATTTCAAATACATCTATATCGATTATGAAAAAACGTTGGAGACATTAATATATGACTATATTAACACTACTTTCTCTATTATATTTACCATTGAAATGTTGGATTCTTTTGTTTTTCTAATTTTCTCTTATGTTTTGTTTAAGTTTTCTTCATTCTAATCTTCTAATAAAGTGATGGAATCCAACTGGAGTTGAAAGACGGAAATGATCGATCGATTGATGATGAGAAATATGGATAAAAAACGAGAGAACATTAACACATCACTGTATATGTGACATACACGTGCCATCCTACTAAAAAGTCAATTATGATATTGAATGAGTAATGCATAAATCACATCGATATAGAGAAAAAGATGATTTTGTTTATATTCCAATTAGCTGAACGATGATCACAAATGCTTTTTTAAACACATTTCGACCTACTGGAAAATGTCAATTTGTTGATATGTTGAATGTGATAAAGATACATTATAGAAACAATCTCCTCCTTCGACTAATCGAATGGTTAAGGTCGACTGAGAGGGCATTAAAAAACAACAATATACCAAGGCTGTCTTCTTCTTTCTCTTCGACTATTACAAGATAGAAGAGGAAGAAGAGGAAACAACAAAAAAAAGATGAGCAATTATTTCGTTGATTTATTCCATATATATATATATATATAGAATAATCCAATAAGAGTAAAGAGAATAGAACCAATGAAAAAAACGATCATGTTTATATTCCATTTCTTTTCTTTTACACTATTATCGTCTTTATATAGCCTTCGTGATAACACGAGAATAATACCATAACGACATACAACAACGAAGACAAAAAACATCTGGTAAGCTTCAAATATTTTTTACTACGAAGAAAAGATATGTTACTCAGATCGAGGAGAAATATTTCTTTTACGATTTTACTTAATAATGAAAAGATAAAATTCTTCAAGAAAATAATTTCATAGAGAAATTAAAAAGGATAATCTAATTATTCGGATAAACAATAAAAATTAGATTGTTTATTTTACTTACAGATAGCTCTTACTATTTAACTAAGTTAAACAGTCCAATTGCATTTTTAATACTGTAAAGTATGGTTTTTATATTTGTGAATATCTTTGGATAATAATTTCATAACTGAATTTTTAAAATAATGTTCTGCAAATCAAGACATTTCGGATTCATTCGATAGTTTATATTGATAAACTATGAATATTTCAGTTTTGATTATTCAATCTCAAATAAGAATATTTATCAGTTCCGTTAGTAGTAAATTTCGAAAGTTCTTGTTTATTAGAGTTCGGTTGCCAATATGAAATATTACATTAGAAAAGTATATAAATAATGATATAATCTCTTCTCAAATGGAAACTAGATGATTTCTATAATCAGACAGTTAATAGTCATAGCTTTGAAAGATTGGATATTATTGGACCAGCTGGAATGTAATATGTTAAATTTCTAACGGCAAAATTTTGATTATGCCTGTAGTATTCAATTGTAGAATATTCTATTATAAAATCTAAAAATGAGAAAGTATATAATTAGTATTAAATAGAACTAATCGAAAGATTGATTTCAATTGTGTAAAGTTGTAATTTCATATAAAAGAACATATGTTCGATAATGTTTATTATTCTTTTTATTTTCCTAATAAGAAGGAAAAGAAGAAAGTGTTATTTATAAAGTTTTATGATCAAATCATCACACAGCATGTGTAAATATGTATGTGTCTTTTAAAGTAATGTAAGTATGGATTGCTCAAAGCAAGAAAACATACTAATCCATTATCTGTCAGAAAGTGATTACGAGAATGAAAGATGACAAGACAATGATAAAGTCGATAGAAGAGAGAGAGAGAGAGAGCGCGAGAAGAAAAAATGCGTTTGCTTCCGGTTAACTGTATACATAAACATTACAAAGACAGAAACCAATCAGAAACAAATGAGATTTTCTCTCATTTTTTTTTATTTCAGTTTTTCTTCTTTATATTCTATTAAATGGGACGTAAACGTTTATCAAGCAGTGATTCAACTACAACGATAACAAGTAATTCTCCTAATAAATTAAATAATTCATCAGG